TGTGGAAGGTCAAATATTATATCTTGCACATGAACAACTGTTTATCCATTTTGTTCCCTTACCCTAACATAGCTGTCTTCTTCTGTAAACCTGCATGCTGTTCCCATGAGCTAGCCATACGGAAAACCAAATCTGGATGCTAACTAGCCTGAAACCCTTTTGTTTAGCAATGTACTGCTTACATGGAAACCTCACGCCCCTCAGAAATACTTAACCTGCTTGATTCAGCTTCTGTAACTGCTTGCATAGAAACCACCCCTGGTAACTGACCTCCTATATAAAAAGGACTACTCAAACTTCGGTCGGGGCTACAGTTTTGACTCTCTGTCCCCTCCCACCTCGAGTATCAAACTGTACTGACTGGCCAGCTAATAAGACTCTGTTTTAACTTAATCTGGCTTTGGTGGTCATTCAATTGGTGGCAATCCACAACAATACTAAAATTTTGTGAGAAGTTAAATTTCCATTATAATAAAGGTTTTCAAAATTCTTAATAGACACAGAGCACATGTACTTCCCAGAGACACAGAGAGAGGGGAAGAAAAGTCACCTCTTCAAAGGACATGGTTTTGTCCTACCAAGGAAGAATGTTTTTCCTCCACTTCCCCTCCTTTTAGAATTTTGGGCACACATGCACACAGCCTTGTAATTTTTGTTTGTTTGTTTTAAGAGAGATTTTTGCTATAGGGGGTTTGCTCTTAACAAAGGACAGTGATGGAAAGACAGACAAAAGTGAGTAATGGGACCAGCCGTTAGCATAATGGCTATGTCGCTGAACTCCCGTGTAACGGACCACAGTTCCAGTCGCAGACCCAGTGGCTTAAACTCACATCGGGTGCATGTGCATGCATGCCTAAGATCCCAAGAGGAGAATGGAGAAGAGATTATGTTGTGGCCATCCCCCCTGGGGGGTGATTTCTTGCTTTCTCTCTGTCTCTTTCTGGCGAACGCATGTACCCTATAGCAAAAACATCTCAAAAAAAAAATGTGAGTAATCACCACTCAAAGAATGGTGACTGTGGCCATGCCACAATCCCTACTTCATTCTCCTGTCAAGATTGTGGGCAGGTGAGCACATGTGCCCAAAGTGAGTTTCAGTCCACCAGATTCAGGACTCAAACCGCAGTTGGCCTAGTGAAAGTCCAGTGATGTAACCACTATGGCATCTGCTGGGGTGTTTATAAACCCACGAGGGCAAGTATTCAAACTGTACTCTAACATATACTTAAAACCACTATGCTATGTAGACAGGGCTACAATTAAGATTTTAAAACAACAATGCAGTCTTTTCCCCAATATTTTTAAAATTATTTTATTTATTATTATTATTATTTAATTTTCCAATAAAGTACATGTGCTCACCTGAAAGAGAAAGCTACCAGGTGCAGGACTTGAGCCACGGTCTGTCAGGTAGGAATCCAGCATATTACCCACCATACTATCCTTTCCAATAATCTTATACTCACCAACTGGTATCCCAAAGTAGTACAGACAATATATTTAGTTTTTATTTGTTTTATTATTATATTTTCATTTGCCGATGGGCACAGGAGAGACAGAGAGAAAAACAGACAGAAAGCAAGCCACGGGGCTAAAACTCGAATTGCAGTCACGTAGTAGGAGTCTAACAACTTCACCACCACACCACCTGTTGGACCTTATGGACGATATTTTATTACATGTTATTATGGAACATGTTCTGCTACTAGAAATGGCAGATTTTTAATGAGATCCATTCAAAACAATAGTCAGTGATGAGATCACCAGTACAGCATCATTAATCAACTCTTTCTCTTCTTTGTGGTTATAGTCACAAAGTTATAAGGAAAGAAATGTGGATATGTAAAGATTAAAAAAAAAAAAAATCACAATTTTCATGATCTATCACAAACTTAAAAAAATAAAAAAGCAACTTAATGTGTTTAAAAGTTACTTTATAACTATCTTAGCATATTTTATACCATGAAAACCACACTCTTTTTCTTATCTTTAATTCACATCTTAAATTTGCTATTTTTTATACTGCTAATATAAATTCCTACACTTCACAATAACATTTATTAGTATACATATACTTGTGTACAGACACACACACACACACACATATAAAATGTGTTACCTGGAGAAAATCTTAATGACCTACCTTTAAACTAGACTCATAGTCTGTGTTTACTTTGAACATAAGCCCAAGTCGTAAATGAACTTCCTTTGCTCGACAAAAGCTGGGATCAATATAGAGCACATCTTGAAATGCTTTAGTAGCCCTGAAAAAATACAAGAATAAGGAACTGGAAGTTTCTAATATTTAAAAGTATTTTTATGATAGTATAGGCAACATTGTGGTTATAGAGTTTTAAATAAAATAGCCAATTTGAATGAATAGCCAATCTGAATGAAACAATATGAACAAATAAAACAAAAGAAAAAATGATTTTCAGTTTTACCAATGTTCAACAATATTTAAAGATTAAATATTTTAGCATATGTAATCTATTTAAATTTCCTACTTTTAAAACCATTATTTATTTAATGTTATTTATTCATTCATTTTTTTCTAATAATGGAAGAGAGACACGGGGGCGGGGAGGGGAGAAAGGGGGGTAAGGGAGTGAGAAAGTAAGCCCAGACTAGAACTGTGGAAGTATCCAAAACCTTAACCACTTAACCATGTCACCAGCTAATCCCAACAACCTATTTAAAATTTCTAAACTCCCTTGCAAAAACTTTTAAAAAGCTAAGAGGATGAAGGTGATAGCCCTGATTCTATTCTGCCTTACATTAAGTTTACCTTTAAAAGCTTCATTTTTGCCTTTTATATTTTGGTTAACAATCAAACTAGAGACTATTACATGTAACTATGCTATAGAAAGGGGTCAGTTCTTATTTTTCCATAGGTTTTCCTATAGTTTAATGTGTGGAAAAGACAATCATACTGTATCACCAATATAGTGTTATCTTTCTCATAATTTACACTCTTCAGTTTTTGGGACTGCTTCTGATATTTATCTCTCTTTCTTTTGGAGAAGCTTTTTTTTGGTTGTTGTTGTTTTGTTTGTTTGTTTGCTATAGGGTTCGTGTGCTCACCAGAAAGACAGAAAGCAAAACATCACCCCTGCAGGAGGGATGGCCACACCACGATCCCTTCTCCTCCATTCTCCTCTCAGGATCTTGGGAACACACGCACACACGCACAGCGTGGGTTTAAGCCACCAGGTCTGGGACTCGAACCACACACAGTTGATGACATGGCAGTCCAGCAACAGAGCCACCACACCATCTGCTGGTCCCCAAATCTATCTTTATACTACACTAAATCAGTAGCATTTTAATTATTACATCTTTTGGACAGGTCTTGATTAACAATAAAGAAACTATAGAAAAGGATAGTCACTCTTCACTGGATATAGTTTGAATATTTCTTTTAATATGTGTAAAATTTCTACTTCAGAAATAAATACTGTGAAAAAACAAAACAAACAAAAAGAAAAAAAAAAAAAAAAAAACTACTTTGAATCCAAGTTAGTCTTTTGCCAGAAAAGTGCATTTGCTTTCCAGAGAGAAAACAAAGGGACCAGCAGTTAGCATAATGGCTATGTTGCTGGACTCCCACGTAGTCGAACGCGGTTCGAGTCCTGAACCTGGAGGCTTAAACTCACGCCAGGAACGTGTGTGTGCGTGCCCAAGATCCCAAGAGGAGAATGGAGGAGAAGGGATTGTGGCGTGGCCATTCCCCCTGGGGGGTGATTTCTTGCTTTCTGTCTGTCTCGCTCTGTCTGTCCGGCCAGCACACGCACCCTCTAGCAAAAAAAAAAAAAAAAAACAAGGTAGAATGTACCCTTCAATGGGGTGTGGTCACACCGCAATCATTTCTCCATATTTCCCTCTGAAGAAGATTTGAGACACATGCTCACACACTCATGCCCAGAGTGTTTTACAAGTTGCTGGGACCAATTTTCAAAACCTATGGTGAACCACGTGGTATTCAGCTCCTTGGCAAGTAACTTCTCATCTTCCCTATCTGTTTCCCTCTGACGAGTGCACACTCCCTGTAGCAAAACCTACAAATAAATACATATTAAAACATCCTATTTTCCTCATCAATAAAATTAAACTAAGTGGTTTCTAATACTTTTCTGGTTCTAACATTGTGAATTTTAAAAATAATATCTTTAAGAACCTCATAGAGGCCTGGGATCAGCAGTTAGTGTAATGGCTATGTCACTAGACTCCCATGTAGTCGACTGCAGTTCAATTCCCAGACTTGGTGGCTTAAACTCACGTCAGGTGAGTGTGTGCGCATGCCCAAGATCCCATGAAGAGAATGGAGGAGAAGAGACTGCGGTGTGGCCATCCCCCCAGAGGGTAATTTCTTGCTTTCTGTCTCTATCTTTCTGGTGAGTACACGTGTCCTATAGCAAAAATGTCTCCAAAAAAAAAAGAAAAAGGACCTTGTAGAGGCCTCAAATGGATTCAAATCTATTTTTGGTTTTAAATATGGCTCACTAAACAAAAATATAAGAATTTTAAGTTTAAGATCTCTGAAGGCAAAATGTATTTCATGGAAAAAATATTCATTATCTAACAAGCAATTCAGAACTTAAGATACCTGGGACAAGCAGTTAGCATAATGGCTATGTCGCTGGACTCCGACGTAGTCGACCACAGTTCGAGTCCCAGACCCAGTGGCTTAAACTCACGCCGGGCCCGTGTGCGTGCGTGCCCAAGATCCCAAGAGGAGAATGGAGGAGAAGGGATTGCGGCGTGGCCATCCTCCCTGGGGGTTGATTTCTTGCTTTCTGTCTCTCTCTGTCTGTCTGGCGAGCGCACACGCCCTTATAGCAAAAACCTCTCCAAAAAAAGAAAAAAGAAAAAAAAAAAGAACTTAAGATACCTTAAGTGGTTGAAAAGCTAAAAAGAAAGACCACTTAAGGTAAGTATTAGGAATAACTATCTAAGATAACATTAAGTATTCATCTTAGGTAAGTCACTATCTCAAACTGTTGTCAATGTATACTTAAGAATTCTGTAATAAATATTTAGGGTAACCTATACAAATAACAAGGTGGCAAATCTTGGCCATGTACTGACTAATCTGCTTTTAGACTCTCACAGCATTTGAATGGCAGGGAGATTTAAAAAAAAGAAATAATAAGAAAAAAGACTGTCCTATACTTCATAGTTTACAACATCTCATATGACGTTGTAATATATCCTCAGTGCTGAAGGACATATTATTCTTATCAGAAAAAAATAAGTTTATAATCAAGTTACTAGCTACTAATCAACAATATCTATGGGAATTAAAATGATTAGAAGGCCAGGAAGGTAAAAATGATACTACTGAAAGGATTTGGGAATTAAAGTAATTTATGTATTTATCACAATATCAAAATATACTGAAAACAACAGACATAAATCAACTCACCAATGAAATGCGTTGTAATAGAAGTAGACTAAACCAAGGCCATATAAAAAGGCAGCATTCTGTTTATTTAAAAAAAAAAAGGCAAAAAACTTTAAGTAAAAAGTTTAGTACAAGTGTTTATATCTGCTAAGAAATGCTTTTAATAAGAAATCAAAAAAACATTTAAGAGACACAAAAAAGAAAACTTATCTGTTGATAATATATATAGTAGTGGCTCTGACTTGACTAATACACTCTATATTTGTTTTGGGAAAACCATGTAATACACTGCAAAGATGTACAGTGATTAAATGGAAATAAAAATAAATTACAAAATCAAGTATATGAGATGTTTTACATTCTAGGAACTGTATCACACAACTCAATACACTTACAGTATGAGTCAACTATACAGATAACATAGAAACCAGGTAACTTAGAGAAATATTTGGGTTACTTTTAAATCAAACCCACTTTGAAATTAGAGATCTAAGAAATGAACCCTCTGATAAAAATAAAAATCTAAAAGAAATATTCAGGAATAAGATAATATTTGGGCTACACCCTTCTTTGCTTTTACTTTGATTCTCTCTACATTCTGAATTGAAATCAATTTTATTTCAAATATTAAAAAGCTAGTTAGAATTAAAGAGAAGCACAACATATGACCATTTAATATATTTAAACCTTAAAAACAAATTTTTAAACATTCAAAATTCAACTAACCACAAAAAAATTTAGATTTTAAATGTCATTCTTTTCTTTTTTTCCCCCTTGTACAGGTTTTTGCTATAGGTCGTGTGTGTTAGCTGGAAAGACTGAGACAGAAAGTGAGAAATCACCCCCCAGGTGGCATGGCCACACTGCAATTTCTTCTTCTCTTGGAATCTTGGGCACACATGCATATGTTTCTTGGCATGAGTTTAAGCCGTCGATCCAAGACTCAAATTGTGTTCAACTATAAGAGAGTCCAGCGACATAACCATTATGCCATCTGCTGGCCCCTAAATGGTGATCGACGACTAAATAGGAGTTCAGTGACATAGCCATTATGCTAACTGCTGGTCCCAGACAACTGATTTTTTTATGAAGGGCTCTGGTCAATCCAGTGGGACAAAGGAAATCTCCTTAGTTGGGTGCTGGAAAAACTGGTTATCCACCTGGACAAAGATGAATCTGGACCACTATCTCTTACCTAAACTTAAGACAAAGAACTATAAAATTACTGGTTGAAAACACAGGTGAAACATTTGGAGACACTGAAGCACGCAATAACTTCTTGACTAGGACCCCTACAGCACAGGCAAAATAATCTCAAAAAATTAGACAAATGGGATTACACCAAGTTAAAAAGTGTCTGCTAAGAAAAATCAATAAATTAATAAAAGTAATAATAATTGGAGTGAACCAGCAACTCTCAGAACAGGAGAAATATATTTACAGACTATGCCTTAGATAAGGGACTGATAACCAGAATATACAAGGAATGCAAGTAGCTTACCCAGAAGAAAGAAAAAAAAAAAAAGGACAATCCCAATTAAAAAATGGCAACTGAACTGAAAAGGCAAGGAAAACATACAAATAGCCACAAGTATTAAAAAAATGCTTAACATCCCTTCTCATAAGGGAGGTACACATCAAAACCACAATGAGATACCTAAGTTCAGTCAGAATGTCTAAGATTAAAAAACAAATAATGGTAAGTGCTGGCAAGACTATGATTTAAAGATAACTCTCCTACACTATTGGTGGGAATGTAAATTAGAACACATTTATATTAGCCTGAGGAGAACAAAATGGAGATTTCTCAAAGATCTACCATATATGATCCAGCAATTCCATTCTTGGGTATCTACCCAAAAGAAAGGAAAACACTTGGAAAGAAAAGTGCTCACACTTCCATGTTTATTATAGCATCATTCACAATTGCTAAGACATGAAATCAACCCAAATGTACATGAACAGATGACCAGATAGAAAAAATGTGGCATATAGACATTATGGAATATTACTCAGCTGTGGAAAACCATGAGACCCTGGCATTTGATACAAAGTGGGAGATTTACCACTGAGTGAAGCAAGCTGGACTATGAATTAGAGACTTCATAGGTCCTCACTTACATATTGAATGTCCATATTCTATGGTAGAAGCTGAAAGATTGATAAACTGACACAGAGTCATGGAGAATGGCTGTGGATTATGGACATAGTGTGGGAGGAAGGCGTGAGGCAGGAGAAGATGAAAGAACGGGAATCAAGAAGAAAAACAGATGCAGAAGACATTTAAGAAACACAAAAATGGGGACCAGCAGATGGCATAATGGCAATGTCTTTGGACTGCCATGTAGTCAACTGTGGTTCAAGACCCAGTGGCTTAACCTCACGCCAGGTGCATGTGCATGATACCCAAGATCCCAAGAGGAGGAGGGATTGTGGCATGCCCATCCCTCTTGGGGCGGGGGTGATTTCTTGCTTTCTATCTCTCTGTCTCTGTCTTTCTGGTAAGCACACATGCCCTATAGCAAAAAAATCTCTCCAAATAAATAAATAAATAAATAAGCACAAAAATGGAGGATTGTCTGCTGATGATATGTACAATAATATCTTTAACTAAACTGGTGTGTGCTGTATTTATACAGGAAAAATTCATTTTATAAATTTCCTAATGTACAGTGATTGAATGTAAGAAATAAATTTTTAAAAAAGGAAAACTGAATACATTAAGAAAAAAAGAATTGAAAATGTAATTCAAAAGAAGCCAAATATTTTCTCTAATGCCAGAAAATATTCAGACGACTAACAAATCTAGGAAAAATACAAAACAAGATTCTAAAAGATAGAAACAGAAGCCATTAAAAATACCAAACAGGGGAACCAGCAGTTAGCGTAATGGCTGTGTCGCTGGACTCCCACGTAGTCGACCGCGGTTCGCGTCCCAGATCCGGTGACTTAAAACTCACGCCGGGCGCGTGTGCGTACGTGCCCAAGATCCCGAGAGGAGAATGGAGGAGAAGGGATTGCGGCGTGACCATCCCCCCTGGGGGGTGATTTCTCGCTTTCTGTCTCTATGTCTCTCTCTGTCTGTCTGGCGAGCGCACGCGCCCTATAACGAAAAAACCTCTCCAAAAAAAAAAAAAAAAAAAAACCAAACAGAGCCAACAGATGAGATGCAGTTTAAGGCATTGGATCTTACATGGTTAGCAATTTTGAGTTCCAGGCCCTGAGGCTTGAAAATCTCACAGACGCATGTGCGTCTGTGTGTGTGCCTAAAATCCTGTGAGAAGGAACTGTGGCCACCCTCTTGGTGCATGATTTATCACTTTCTCTCATGTGAGCACACACGCTCTATAGCAAAACCAAAAAACAACAACAAACAAAACCTAAAAGAGATATTGGGTATGAATATAATGAACGGAAGAACTCTAAATAGAGAGTTTTAAGAGCAGACTTAATCATGAAAATAATGGCATATCTAAAGAGAGGGCATTTAAAATCAGCAAATTAAAAGGATCAAAAAATATTTAGAAAGAGTAAAGAAAGCATACCTATAAGACACCATCAAATATACCAATATAAGAATAATGGAATGTTATGGGAACGAGAAAAGGAATGGGGAGAAAACCAATTTAATTAAAAACTATCTAGGACCATGTATAAGGTTAGGCACTGGACACAGGAACTAGAATCGACATGGCCAACTGCAGAACAAATTTTAGCCCTTTGCAAATTAAAGAAACATGTTGAATATATGTGTGTTTGCCTGCCCTAAATTCTGATGAGATGGCAAAATGGAGGAAGGAAAAGAATATGCAGTGTGACCATGGCCTAGTGGGAGGGTACTAGTTCTCTCTGTTTTGCTTTGTCTCCCTATATCTCACTTTCTCAAGTGTGTATGCCCTCTAGCAATACAAGAAAGAAAAAAGAAATACTGTCTGAAGACTCTGAAACCTAGAAGAAGATATAGATACACATAATAAAGAAATTCAAAGGACTCTAAACAGTATTGCAAAAGAACATTCCATGGCACATTGTAACAAAGTTTTAAAAAAGTCAGAGGCCAGGAAAGAATCTTCAAAATAAGAGAGAAGAAATTTGGTACATGTAAAAGAACCACCATGAAGTTATAGGCAGATTTCTCCAGAAAAACACTCTAACAGGGAACTGGAGGACATTCAAAATAGTACAATAATAACAACAAATACAAAACCAGCCCAAAGTACTATGTGTCCTTCTGAAATGATAAAGACTGTCCAAAAGAAACAAAGGCAAAAGGTGTTCATCACCATAAGATCTACCTTACAAAATATACTAGAGGCAATTCTTTCTGTGGAAACAAAAGGAGACAAAGTAACAACATGAAAACATAAAATTTACCAATAAGGTAAATGTAAAGTCAAGTTCAGAGCACTCTAATACTTATATGAAGGTAGTATACTTTTGGTAAAATTAAAAGAAATATTTTAAAAGCAAATGCATTATAATTTGTTTATACACAACATAGATATAAGTAACATCAACAGAGTGAAACATTGGAAAAAGGAGATGAATGTGAACACTGTTAAGTAGTTACCACCTCAATTAGAATGTTATAACAGTAAGACACATGAATCTCATAGGAGTACCCATGAGGGAAAAAACCAGCTGTAGACACACAAAAAAGAGAGGAATCATGCCATCATAAAACTACAAATTATTCTAAAAGTAGCTGCAAGAAACCATGAAACATTAAGTATAGACAAAATGACAAAAGAATGGCTTACAGTCAGTAATTACTTTGAATATAAATGAACTGAAATGTCTATTCAAAAGAATCAGACTCATTGAACTGCTGAAAAAAGTTTCAGTTGGGGACTGTCAAGTGGAGTAGAACACTGAACTCCCACTTGGCTGACATCAGTTCAAACCCCAGACTTGGCATCTTTCTCTCTCTCTCTCTCTCTCTCTCTCTCTTTTTTCTCTGGACGAAATATAAATGAACAAACAAACAAAGTTAGATAAAATATTTTTTAAAAATAAATTTTAGCTATCTATAAAAAGACATTTTATTTTAGAGTTACGGGTAAACATAGACAGAACCTGA